GGGGGGTTGTGCCGACTTTGCCTGTCTGGTCGGGGAGGTTTGCCTCTGTTAGAGGGGGCTTGGGAGGCCAGAGACTCTTGAGTGATTGACTCATGTTGGCGGTGAGGGAGGAGTGGTAGTTGTGGTGTTTGTTTGTTTGTTGGCCACCTCGTGAATTTGGCTGGAGGCGGGAAAAGATGCTGTTGTCTATATATATGCCGTCCCCTGGTTCCGCGACGCCGGAACTTCAACTGCCGGGCCAAGACGTTGCTTCTTCGGACTTGACCCCTATCTCCAGTCTTTATGCTCTGGCATTCCAGCACGGCTGTCAACTCAATATGCGTTCGGGGTTCGGCGACAAGACCGGCCGTCGGGTGCGGGTTAAGATGCTGTGGCGGCGGCGGGCGGAGTTGACAAGTGCGGAGTTGCCGCTGCCTGCTTGTCGGCGTTGTACATGCATATGTGCGGAGTACGGAGTGGGCTCCTGTGTGCCATGTTGAGTACATTTGACCTCCATGTTCTCGAATGCCGTCTCTGGTAAGTACCTAGGTATGTAGTATGCTATACCACAGTGTGCTATGGATATAGCGTCATGGTCAGAATATTCTTTCTGGCAAAACAACCTTCTCTTCTCCCACTACAGCTGCCATTTAATTTTCGGCTTTGCATTCTCTCGTTTGATAGTCGTCTGAAGAAACTCGGTTGCCGAGACGGAGGTGGATCCCGGCAGTTGGTTGCTTCACGCTGCGGCAGGGTCTTAACACATAAAATATGCGGTGTGGCCACGCCCATTTCTTGTGTAACACAAGCCAATAGGCCCAGAGAATCACGGCATCTTCCAGCAAAAAAACGAGCATGCATCAAATACACAGGATGTAATAGTGTGCAATTTTTCTTGACCACAGCCTGCGGTCTAATTGACTCACAAATGTGTATCTTTTACAATCGCCCGAATTATATGCAGATGCAGATGCACAAACGGCCCCCACCATCAATGCTCAACCTTGGATTCCTACCCATAGGTTTTTAGCTCCCACCGCCCGGCAGAATTTTCAACCCCACGTCACTCACTGAGCATACACACGATGAGCAAAGCCAGTGGAAAAACAACCTCTTGAATACATACAGAAAGAGGCCCGTTTCTGTTTCTCAATTGACAGACACAATGCCGCGAGATGCGGAACCGTCGCTGAGCGAGAAAACTTTTCTCACAAAGGCGCTCGAGGAGGGCCTGCGCCTGGACAATCGCAAATTTGAGCAGTTCCGGCCTCTGGAGCTCACTTTTGGAGATGAGTTTGGCGTTGCGGATGTCAAGTGCGGGAAGACAAGGCAAGTTCTTCCAAACCCTTCCAACAATAAAGGAGAGAGGAAAAAAGACGGAGCCTGAAAACCAAACGTAATAAAGTGGCTACAGCCACCACTAACACCGACACATAGAATCGTCGCCAAAGTCTCGGCAGAAGTAACAGTGCCCTTCACAGACCGCCCCTTTGACGGCATATTCTCCATATCCTCGGAACTAAGCCCCATGGTGGCGCCGTCATTCGAAGTTAACCGCCCGACAGAGCAGGAGGTCCTCCTCTCGAGGATCCTCGAAAAGACCATCCGCCGCTCCGGCGCCCTCGACACAGAGTCGCTCTGCCTCGTCGCCGGGCAAAAGTGCTGGTCCGTCCGCGCCGACGTCCACGTCCTCTCGCACGACGGCAACCTCCTCGACGTGGCGTGCTTCGCCGTCGTCGCCGCCCTCCGGCACTTTCGCAAGCCAGAGACCACCATGGAGGGCGAGACGCTGACCATTTACACGCCGGCGGAGCGGGAGCCCGTGGCCCTCAGCTGGCTGCACTCGCCGTTTTGCGTGACGTTTAGTTTTTTCGGCCACGAAGGGGAGACGGTGCTGATGGATACAACGTGGCTGGAGGAGCAGCTGAGGGTGAGCAGCTGTACGTTTAGTCTGAACAAGCATGGCGAGATATGCCAGGTGTCGAAGCTGGGGGGTGCGGACGTGGACGCGCCCCTTTTCGTGAGGTGTGCGCAGTTGGCGCTGGAGAGGGTCAAGGTGTTCACGGACCTGGTGGATAGGAAGTTGATGGAGGATGGAAAGAGGAGGGACAAGGGAGGGTTGATGGCCGAGTTAAAGGCAGATAATGATAGATGATGTGGTTAGGAAGGGATATATTGGAGCTCAAGGCCAAAAAAAGGAAGAGAAAGGCTGTTGTGTTGTTATTTTATCATGGCGCATTATCACGATATGGCAGGATAGAGAAAAAAAAAGCCGAGACATCTTGATACCCCCTAGTTACAGGCTCATGCTATTTCAAACCTCAAAACATAAGTTGATAACCTGGGCATATCGCTGATTAAAAAAAAAGTACAATGATCTCCGTTGAAATCTAACCAGGCCAAGACGCCGTGCTAAACCACACCCTCTAGAATCATGGTTCGTAGCTCGTGAAATAAATAAATAAATCAAAACCCCATTTTCCGGTTGCAAAATCTCCCCTTCTTTCTCTCATCTCATCACCGGCGGCCTCGACTCCTTATTCCACTGCACTCTTGTCCTCACCCAATCCACCGCCTCCCTTACGCCATCTCCAGTCAATGCACTTAACGACAATACTCTGGAATCGCGAATACTGCTCGCCTTATCGCCCTCCATGACCTTCTTCACCAGGCCTTCCTTGATGCGAATCGTCTCGACGCAATCCTCCCTGTCCTGCTTATTCGCGAGAATGAGCAGCGGCACGCCTTCCGTCTCCGAATGCTGCAGCACGTCTTCGAGAACAAGTCTGCACTCCTCCAGACGGCCGTTGTCATCGTCCTCGAGCGACCCGTCGCCGATGTCCGTACTGTCGATGATGAAGACGATGGCGTGACAGCTGGCGTAGTAGCTTTGCCAGAGATTGCGAAGGGACAGCTGGCCCCCGACATCCCATAGCTTCATATACATGTCGGGCAAGGTTATTGTCGAGACATTCTGGCCGACGGTCGGCACGGTCTTGAGCTTTGGTTCCGGCCCGTTGGGGAGGTACATGGACTTGACTTGTTCGAGGAACGTGGTCTTGCCGGCATTATCGAGGCCCAGGAGGATGACGGAGTACTCTGTCGGTCATTTTGGTCAGCTTCATTGCCGTCTGCGCCTTGATACTCGTTGACGAGGTTGCAGACCTTCTTTGCTGGTCGCGTAGAGATACAGGCCCTTGGCGAGGTGGTACATGTTTCTGGACTCGACGGGCCGTTTTGTCGTTTGACCACGGCTCAGCTGGTTCCATAGACAGGCGCATTCATTTGTTGGATCAAAGGGGAAGACAGACGCTAATGCGAGAATTTTTATGGCGCAGAGTGTATAGGACGGCTACGCTTTGTGACGTGTCGTGAGAGACGACTAGAGGCGCGGTATCGGTATGGCGGTGATGCTGACTCTGATATTCCATGTTCTGTTCGGCGTTGTTCTGGCGAAGGTTTAGGCGGCTTGTGGCCACCTGTAGGGGACTTGTTCGCAAGGGCGGCTCGACTGCACTAGGATGGTGGGGCAATATGGACCCTTTGATGCTCAACTTTGAACGCTGGCTTTGCGATGGGTCAAACGGGTCAATGCATTTGCTCGAGTGCGCTACGCTGCTGTCTTTATCGGGGTTTTATCCTAATTACTCCGTACATTAACCTGCTATCCCTTTGAATGTGCGAAGGTGCAGCTTTTGTAACTGACCCACTCTTTCTGCGATACCTAGCCGGTACCTTTCTTGCAATAAGGTCAGCAACTAAACCTTCCATACTTAAATTATCATACTAATAATTCCGGCCTTTATAATGGAGCCAAAGAGTGACATTACGAGTATCTTAACAGCCGATAATGCGTTATTTGTTTGCCTCAAGCCGGCAGAGATTATAGGCGGGCGGCTTATATCATCATATAATTTCTTAGTGTAGTCAGGTACCTTTTAATAATTGGCTTCCTATTGGCCCATACCCCGGTCCGCTACAAAAGCTGCACCTTCGCACATTCAAAGGGATACATTAAATCTCAAATGTGTGTTCTTCACTGGACTTTTCTCTGAGGAAGTGTGGGGGCTCGTCCGTGCGGCGCGCGCCGTCTCAATTGGACCACCACTTCTAAAGTGGCTCGATGCCGATGAAACTTTCCAAGTCTCTGCCCACTTCTAAAGTTGTCCAAGTCGCGGATACTGAGCCCAATGAGTGGGGAATGCCCTGCTGGAAGTAGCCGATACTTTTATTTTGGCAGGTACCTGCACGTGTGCGCATGTGCCAATACAGCGTCCAGATCAGGAGGGACACCCTGTCCTGACGCCAGGCTCCAGCCAGCAAGAACAGCAGGTGCCACCTGGGCCAACGGTTGTTGTTGCCGAAATGTTTCTTTTGCGCCGAATGCCTTGCCCCGCCAAGGCCAAAAGCCCAGGCCGCGCCAAACCCCTTCCGATCTTCCACGTCAACCTTCAAATCCGGCTTGGGTCCATTTGGGGCCTTGTCGCTTTGTGCAGTTCCATCGTCGTAGATTTACAATTTATTCGACGCAAACCTTGCATTTCCTTTCGCCAGTTCTTGCTCCAGACGCACCCTCAGAAAGTCCCAGAGATACAACGCACACATCGACAACTCATGCTCTGTCTGGCCCCGCCGTGAGGCTCTCACTAGAGCTCCAAAGCTCTAACCTGTTCGAATTCCCTCCCTCTAAATCGTTTCGCGTAACCTCCCGGATTGGTCTATTCACTTGCAACTCTGTTCCGGTATCAAATATCGTAGCCAACCATGGATTTGGCCACAGAAGTCGCCGACCTGGGCTTGAAACTTCTACGTATGTTGAACACTGAGGAGCCATGCTACGCCCGTCGAGAAGTAGGCACGAGACTGACTGACCAAACGCGACAGGACGAGATGACAGCGAGGAAGGTTCGTCGACCCCCAAGTTAATGCGATTCTCCCCGAAATGCAATTTCATCTTGCGCTATCGGACGGAGCCTGTTGCTGACCTACAAACTTCTAGAGGGCGATGGCGCGACCAAGGAACTGTACGCAGCATGGACCATCTTCATTGCCATTTTGCTGCTCATTGCAGCCTTTTTCACGAGTTACATGCTCCAAATAAAGAAAGTGACGGCCGTCCACGAAACAGTCATTTCAATCTTTGCGGGTTCGTAATTGCATTCCCTGAAGAGCCTTGGCTCGCGACTTGGCGCAATTGTCAGTCTTGTCTTGACCGGAACTTGAACTGACTGAGCTGCGCCGCACTCGTAGGCATGACGGTTGGATTGATCCTCATCGTCACCTCGGGCGATTCGATACGAACCATGATCAATTTCAACTATCAAATCTTCTTCAACCTCTTACTACCGCCGATTATTCTCTCCTCTGGATACGAGTTGCACCAAGCCAACTTCTTCCGCAACATCGGCACAATTCTTACATTCGCCTTTGCAGGAACATTTCTGTCTGCCGTCGTCATTGGATTCATTCTTTGGCTCTACTCCCTGATCCCCGGAACCCTGAGGATGACATTCGTTGATGCAATTTCTGTTGGTGCCACCTTGTCCGCCACTGACCCAGTCACAATCTTGGCTATTTTCAATACCTACAAGGTTGATCCGAAGCTGTATACCATTATTTTCGGCGAGTCAATTCTTAATGACGCCATTGCCATTGTCATTTTTGAGACAGCACAGAAATACAACAAGGGCGAAGCATCTAGCTACGGAATCCTCAGCTTCTTTGAAGGTACCGGCATTTTCTTGCTGGTTTTTTTCAGCAGTTTACTCATCGGCATCGTTGTCGGCATTGGCACCGCCTTGCTTCTCAAATTTACTTATCTCAGACGATATACAAAGATTGAAAGCTGTCTCGTCTTCTTGATAGCCTATGCCACCTACTTCTTCTCCCAAGGTGTGCATTTGTCTGGTAAGCGATATCCCGTTCTGCTCAGTAAATATCGTCCTCGCTTTACTCATCTCGATTAGGTATCGTGTCTTTGCTTTTCTGCGGTATAACCCTGAAGCATTATGCCTATTTCAACATGTCTCGCCGAACCCAACTCACCACAAAGTATATTTTCCAAGTAATATCGCAATTGTCCGAAAACTTCATCTTCATTTATCTTGGTCTGGCCTTGTTCACCGACAGTGCGCTGTCATTCCAGCCACCCCTTATTATGATTACCATTCTAGCCGTTTGCGTTGCTCGATGGGTTGCCGTTTTCCCCCTGTCTAAAGCTATCAACTGGTTTATTTCGTATCGCGCAAGGCGGCGTGGTGTTGAAGCTACTGAAGAATTGCCGTACAACTACCAGGCAATGCTTTTCTGGGCGGGCCTTCGCGGCGCCGTCGGCGTGGCTCTGGCCGAACTTCTGACCGGTGATAATGCCCTCGCTCTTCGAGCTACTGTGTTGGTTGTGGTTGTCCTAACCGTCATCATCTTTGGTGGCACCACTGCCCGTATGCTCGAGATCCTCGGCATTCGGACCGGAGTTGTGGAGGAGATTGATAGCGACGACGAGTTTGATATTGAAACCGTTTCCGGTGCTCTCCATGCTAAACGTTCGGGTGGCGGCATTGGCTACACACCTAGGCGAAATGGCAACATTGTTCTGCACAACCTAGAGGAAGGTCGGTCTGCTACTTATGTGTCTGGCCACAGGTCACCGCACCTCTCTGGAAGCGGCCAAAATACCCGAGGAAACAGTCTTAGCCGAAAGAATTCCAATCGTAACCAGGATGAGTTTGAGAGGGCAGATTTGCTTGGTCGTAATGGCGAAGACTCCGACTTTGACACAGACATTGACACGTCTGACCTACCGCCCCCCGCTCGTCCTGCCCGCCACACCGGCTCACGGCCCTATCCCCAAACGGACAGTGCCTTTATGAGCCCAGCTGGTGAGGCATCGCAGCCAATGCCCATGACTGCCACCGGGGCTATTCGACAACTTTGGAGCGCGGAAGATCCAGCGGGTCTATTTAGACAACTAGACGAGGACTTTATCAAGCCGCACCTCTTACTCCAGGGCGATAGCAATAAAAGTTAGCCAGCGAGCTAGATAGATGCATGGGGGCTACTTGAGCATGTAGATACGGACAGAGATGTATGACGAGTTTCATAACCATAGCGCTGGAAAAGTTGGCTCGAAATCAATGGGATGAATGAATGGAGGCTTAGACGAGCCATGTTTCCTTGGTCTGAGTGGTCTTCCTTGTATATTGTAACTACATGGCGCATGTGGCGTTTTTATTTGTATTGGTGGTAAGCCTACATGTTTGATTTAGACCATCTTATTCATCAATTTACTCTTGAATCGTCACCTGCGCTGGGACAAATATAATTACGTGCATGCCTTCTCTGGGCAAAATGTTTTTTCTTTTTACGTCGAGAGAGCTTCCGTTGCCCCCATTCGACAACATTAGGTATATACAACAGTTCACAGCCCGTCAAGATAAGACGAGCAGTTTGCCAATACTGCGCTCGCTATTCCAGCTACTCGCCCCGAGCTCCATGCCTGATGGCAATAATGATTTCTGGCAACCCTGACTATTCTGCAAAACAAAAGACGCGCTGACCATGACCGTAACCGTGTGTAAATGAGGTAGAAGAAACGGCAACCGAGACCCCAAGAAGCTTTCCGCCGCCAACGTGACATCCAAAACTACAGCCAAAAGTAGCAGATGAAGCACTATAAGAACTAACCGAGATACAAGAGAGCTGGTTTATTGCCCCCCTGAAGGAGTGGCACTACCGCTGGATTGGCGTTGATGGCTCTGCCCGGGACTGGGCGCAGGGACGGGAGTAGGAGATGCTTGGCTCCCTGCGCGCTGGTGCACTTGTTGTTGAGCCTGCTGCGCTTGCTGAGCCTGTTGAGCCTGCTGAGCCTTTGCCTGTTGCTGAGCCTGAAGAGTGGCGGCGGCCTGCTGCTGTTGTCGGAGAAGAGCCGCATACTGGTGAGGACTGGTGGTTGCCGCAATGCTGTTGGCAAGACCAGGCTGACCGGTTCCCCCCGCAGCAGCATTCATGGCAGATTGGCGCTGTGCCATCATGGTTCTCGTGAGATGTTCTGTTGCGACTTGGCGTGCTTGTTCGGGCGTAAGATTCGGGTTCTTTGCCCTCAGCTGGGCTTCTAGTTGAGCAAGCTGTGCGGCGATGCCGGCGGGAAGTTGCGGATGAACTCTTTGGCCCGGGGAACTGCCATTAACCGAGACGGGCATGTGTAGACCATTAGTTGGCGGTGGTGTATGCCCATTGCCATTGGGAACCGCACTGTACTGAGCCATCATGGCCTGTGCGGTGGTCATGTAGTTTTGTTGATTGATTCCGTTGATGCCATTGCGCAGGGGAGGCGAGCTGTGCGGCCCAGGAGTACCAACTGCTGCGCCATTGGTCTGTTGCTGCGGTGGTTGCTGCTGCTGCTGCTGCTGTTGCTGATGCTGTTGATGTGGCTGGACTTGCTGCGGTTGATGATGTTGCTGGTGCTGAGCCTGCTGGATCTGCACTCTCTGCTGTTCAGAGATGCGTTGGGCACGAAGCATCAAGTTGGCATCCGGCTGCTGGTTCGGCATTGGCATTCTCTGCTGGCCTTGCATCGCAGCTTGCAGCTGGGCCTGCGGGACAGCGGCCATCTGGCTGGCAACCGAAAGTCCGCCATTCATCTGAGCTTGGACACCAGCAACTCCCATCCCATTGACTGGAGCTTGCATAGGCATCCGAGGCCGCTGAGTGGCAGCGGCAACTGCAGCTGCGGCTGCGAGTTGGCTTGGGATACCAGGACGAGCAGCACCACCTGCTGCTGGAACGCTGCCGTTTGGAAGATGATTTCCGTTTTGCTGTGCTTGTCCTCCAGCCCCCGCTGCTTGGGCTGCTTGGGCTGCTTGGGCTGCCTGTCCTTGGGTCCTGGCTTGTAGAGCAGCTCGTCGCTGGGCTTCTTGCCGCTGCGCGTACTGTGCCATCTTCTCTGCTAGAGCTTGATCGCGTTCGAAACGGAGGAGACTGTAATCTCTTGGCGTCTTCTTCTGCCTTTGCGAAATAGCGTCGTTGGGCTTCTTGTTAGCTGAATTTTGTGATGCTGAGTGCTGTTGCTTTTGAATGGTGGTCTCTCTCTTCTTGGCGAGCTTTCTCATTGCATCAAGTAGACTCAAGTGCTTTTGATTACGCCGCCTCTCGACTCGCAGTGGCACTGACGGTCTCCTGCGAACGGGCGTCATGGCACCACCAGCGGCACTGGCTTGTTGTGCAGCAATTTGATTCTGTTGAGCAATGACTCGCTGTGCTGACTCAATTCTGCTGTTGTATGCCTTGAAGTACTGCGTCTTTTGCATGTCTGCTGGAAGGCCTTCGAGATTGATCCATCGCTCAAAGCATTCCCAAGGCGTGCGTCTCTCAGCGCCCGACTGAAACTTGGATTTGGTTGACAACATGTTCGAAATCAATGACCAATTGTACGAATACTCCCGAACAAGCCCCCGCAGTTCATCATCCTCTACCAGAGTCCATTGCGATGGCCCGCGAGACTCATAGAAGCTCTGCACAGGCATTGGATGTTCTGAAGGTGGCCTGAATTGGTGGCCTGCATGGAGCCGGTCTCTGATGTGTTTTGAGTCGGGTTGGAATAGGGCAACTTCGTCAGTCATTGGGGGGAGTTCAACGTTGTGGACCGCTTGGTCGGCCACGAACGCGCCCTCAAACTCATCATCCGACTCCTCATTCTCGTAGTTGAATCTGCTGCGTTTGCGCGGAGGGGTGGACGTTACAAGCTTCATTTCACCTTCCACATACTTGCTCAGGGGCAAAGCAGGACGGCGCCAATGGGCGTCTGGGTCATACTCGGGGTTTGTGATATCCGCACGCAGTACCTTCAGAGGCGAGCCATACATCGGAAGCTCATCAAGTAGTGCATCCGAAGCCGATGTGCGCCGCAACTCGAACACAACATCGTCCTCCTGTAGAGTGAAGATGGCGGAGGGGGGAACGGTTTCCACGAAGTCATCGGCAAGTTCGTCCACTGGTTGCGGCGAGTCTACATCGCCAGATGATATCAGATCTGGAGTCGGCTGATTGTCCGCCCCGTCTCCATCACCATCCGTCATGGGTACATCTGCTTCTACCGTCTCAGCCCTTGGAGGGATAGCAGAACGAACTTGCATCTGCTTTCGCTCATCGGAGGATGCTTCGTACCATTCCGCGCAGGCATAGGCCAATTTTCGGGCAGCTGTCATTTTCCATTTACGTTCCTCACGAAAATCAGTCCGCATCCATTTCATCTCTTGTAGTAGCGTGTCCCATTGTGTCGGAGGTCTTGTCGGCTCAGGGCAGCGCTTGAGTTGACGTAACGACCACTTGTCATGCTGTTGCAAATGGTATACACGCCTTAGAACCTTGCAAGCCTGGTGATCTTGGATGACAATGTTAGCATCCGGAGTGGCGATGGTCTTATTTGCTTGAAACAAGATTCGTTCAAGCGGTTGCATCCACTTGGACGCGCCGGTAAAGTTTTGTACGAAGAGTGAAGTATAGTAGTCGTCCGTTGGCTGCAAGATTTCCTTGTGGCCCGATACAATGGATTTCTCATCAACTCGCTTTGGTTGTTTCCCGAAAAGGACCGTTGACACCTGGCCCTTCGATCGATCTCGTTTATGCCCATTTCTTACTCTGGATGCCGGAGACTGGGGAGTCGAAGTGACAGGTGTGAGCTGATCGTGTGACCCTTTTGTCGCATCTCGGTCTGACATGGAAGGGCGGGATATCGCGCCTCCTCCCACGATTTCGGTCACAGATTTCAATCGCATAGCCCCGGAGGATACACGAGTGACAGCTCTCTCCGGCGCCGGTGGTTGCGCAGTCTGTTCCTTTTTAACGACTGCAGTGGAAGTCTGAGCTGTGCTTTGAGCCGCTGGTTTTGAATCGCGAGGAGTTATGGGTTTCTGAGTTTGGGCTTGTGTTGGTAGCTCTGTGGCGTCGACTTGCATCTGATCGGGCGAACTATCCTGACTATCGGGAAACCCAGCGGTACCGAGTTTCTTTGGCTCACTTGCTGGGGGTTCATGTTTTGGAACATTGTCAATCATAGAAGCTTTCGCGGCTTCTTCAGGTACTTGTGGTGTCGCAGATGTCGTGCTGGATCTGATGGATTCTTGAAGAAGTTGGTCCTCTGCGCCTGAACTGTGCTCCTGACCTTCTGCTGCCTTCTCTTGCTGGTGTTGGCTAACTTCACTAGCGTCTGGCTTGTCCGGATGTCGCGTGGGATCGACAAATCGGGTACTATCATTGTCGGGGCTGGTGTCCGTGGATACGTCGTGTATGGCCGGCGTGGTCGCGGTGTGAGTAGTCGATGCTGGCGATGACATAGCCTCGGCTGCTTTAACAGCCTCAGGCGGGAGTTTAATGCTGAGAGGCGCATTGGTTGCATTATTTTTAAGCGACGCAGTGGCGGTCGGCTGCTTAATCGGAAGAGGTGTTGGAGTGACCGATCCTAGAGCTGTGTCATTGTGTTTAGTTGCACTGCTGGCAGACTTCTTCGTCCCTGGAGGAAATTTAACATGAGGTTGTTGTGGTTGTGGTTGTGGTTGAGTTGCATTGTTGGTCGTCGAGGCGCTATTTGTTTTGATCTTGATATTCGTGGTCGGCTCAACAGCTAATGGTGGTTTTGATCCAGGCGCAACTGGTTTCGCGGGAGATGTCGTGCTTTGCGATGATTTCTGTGCAGGCAGAATTGGCGTTGCCTGTGCTGAACTGCCTGATGCTGAGCTCGGTCGGCCATTGGCAACAGAATCAACCGTCTTGGACTGGGATACATCAGATGATTTTTGTACGGGCGCTACCGACAATTCCTTTTTGATGCTATCGAGTGGTATTGGAATTGGAACTGGCGTCGGCTTCGAAGACGGCTGAGTTGTCGCAGCACTTATTTGCAAAGCGAGTGATCTTTTCAACTTGTCAATCGATTGCTTTTGCCTCGCCGGAATATGAAGCTCATTCAGCAGCTTTCCTCTGTAGATGGGAAATTAGTATTAGAGACAAAGACATATTCCGCACGCCCTGACTAAACGGAGACGACATCGCAATAAATGGCGGCCAGGTGCTCAATTGATGCACACAACAAAAACACCAATATCGGTCCGAGGAATATTGAAAAAAAGAGTCAGATTGCATGGCAAGGACGTACTGCAAGATGTCATTTGCTTGCAAAAACTGCCATTCAGCCTGTGTTGCCGCTGGCGCGTCAGGGTTAGCAAATGCATGGCTCGGCAAGGTCTCGACTTGGGTCGCGACCGCGAAGAGCTCGCGCAGCTTTCTCTTTCTCGACGTTACGATTGCACTGCGACGGGTCAGCACGACAAAAATTATATCAAAATGACGAGAAAGAATCGCGCCTTCGAACGAGACTATACTCACTTGCAGTCGTTGCGCTTTGATTGAAGCAGCCTCGATAGGTCGGGGTGCCCGACCTCAGTCATAGCATCGGCGTTGGCGGCATCCGTTTGAGGGCCAAACAGATGCACTGGAGGCCAATACGTAGTTGACTGAGATGAAATACCGGGTGGGTGACGATGCAAAAGGTGGTGGTTGAGGCCGTATTGACGAATTGTTTTTTTCGTCTTTGTGAGGAGTCACCAACTTGAGAGAGGGCGTTGGAATTTGTCGGGCGGCGATTTCACCTCTGGGGGGACCTTAGGGGGGAGGGGCCCGGTTAGTGGTGGTGGAAATTTTTTTGCCAGCGACATGGACATTGAATGCCTTGAGCAGGCGGCAGCAGACGGCCAATATTCAAGCCCCAGAAGGGGGAGGGGCTCAAGGAGTCTACGGGGTACGGAGCTTGTAGCTACCTGGTTTGGACCAGCTTAAATGTCAACTTGGCATCTCGAGGGACGGAGCCTAGTCATTCTCGCTGAGTCCGCTGCACTACTACTAGGGCGTGTTCGGCGTGTCCCATGTTGGCTATTGCGGCATGTCGACATCAACGACAGGCCTGGGTCGTCAATTTGTCCGAGAGAGACACCTGTACAGTATGTACATGGACCAAACCCGACATGAACACAGCTGGGTGCGGGTAGCCGGCGGGCGGGGGCCAGTTCAACCTCGGACGCGACTTCAATGAACGGGAATCCACTATCCAGCGCCTGAGGGAGGCAGCCACCAGAACATAGGCAAGAATTGAATCGCGCGCTCGCACCAACTCTGACCATCGAGGCAGCCACGGTCGACCTTGGACCCGCACTGTATGCAGACGGCAAGCCTGTCTTGCCCGATGCACGAGTCGTGCATCACTGCACTCCGTGCCGGCCGAACAAATTGGAGCAGACAGTACGCACTGCTGTTTCAACACTGTAACCCGCATGGCCTGTTATGCTCTAGCCTTCAACTGTGCGCAATTTTCACCACCGCATCCGGGGTCCCGCTCCAATCGTCATGGATTGCCCAGCCGAGGATGAGTTCGGGGGGCTTGAGTAATAGCCTGAAGTTCCTTACGGCCCTGCACGTTGATCCTGCTTTTCTCATAATACTTTGGAGCCATTTTTTTAAGGCGGTGCTGTCGTTCGTTAAGATGACCGTGCTTTTGCTTTTTCCAAAATGAGTGCTTCGTAGTGAAATATCCAGAGGAAAACCCCTTTTAATTTCTTGCTTGATTTATCGTATAAAACCATGACTTACATACATCATGCGCCAAGAACCAAGACACATCCAAGACGAAAGAAAAAGGTAGAAAAGGTGCTACGGTCGGTTAGACGGGATCAGCGCAACACGGAAAAGATTGCAAATTCATACACTAGCCACGTTTTCATAGTAGTGTGGCTTGATAATACATACACACCAGAAGAATGCTATGCAACTTAGGTACCTACCTAGGTACCTGGTAGGTATTAGACTGTTTCCAGTCTATTCACCCGAAATTGCTCCAACATTAATCAAAGGAATGAAAGGGATCTACACGATCCCTTTGAGTGTGTTAAAGTCCATTTTGCGTACCGAGCCAGGGTCCTAGCCAATGAAAAAAAGAAAAAAATTGAAAGGTGTAAAGGACCACAAAGAAATAGTATGATAATAAAAGTACCAGTAATGTTTAAATTTGAAAAGAGCTACCAGTTGACATCTTCCAAATGCAGCTGACCTTGTTGGCAAAAGGTTCCCGTTAGGTATCGCAGAAAAAGTGGTTCCAATACATCGGTTGGACCTTAACACACTCCCAATGATAGATGGCCAGGCACGCACATGGCATAGTATCTGATATCCCTTTAATTGTGTTGAGGTGCCGCCTTTGTATCTACTCCAGAACAGCCCTATCGAGTATTTCTACTTGTACTAGGCCTAATAAAATACTATTAAGTAATGTATTAAAGACGATTAAGAGTATATTTATTATGACAATCAATACGTGAGTATCCCCTAAAAGCAGCGAAGACTACAATGATGTAGCTGCGGGGATGAGCAACCAATTAAAAGCTTAATTACACATGGTACCTTAATCCCTTAATATTTTATATGATGATATAAGTACCCATAAAAATCTAGGTTACGAAACGCTACCTCATAAACGCTATAATCTTCACTATTATTAATGTCTCTTGACGTCACCAGCCGCTACCCGGGGCCCTGTGGATACTGAGACCTAGTTGTAGTCTTCGCTGCTTTTAGGGGATACATGTACCTACTTAACACTAAATTCTCATTGGATATTATCCCGTAAGGGACTTCGCTGGCATCTCAACACATTCGAAAGCATTCGACGCATCTTCGCACGACTGGGCCGCGAGCTACGCCGCATTCCCTCTGCATGTATATGTTGCTGTTTATGCACATTTCGTTTCGCGAAATTGCCCCAAGTGGCGTTTAGCTGACCATGTTGCATGCCCATCAAAATGCAGAGCAGGCTGGCCGGTTCCTGGCTTGGTTTGACCACAACTGGAATGAGTGACTCCGTCATTTGTCTTTCGGTCACATTCTGCAGCCTTCGTCTCACTGTTTCCGTCAATAATGGCAAAATATATTCATTGTTACGAAATGTCTTGTTCAACAGTCTCATCTTGACTGGCAAAGATAGCAAAGCACGGCTGTCTCTCCCCAGAGCCTTTCCAGGTCGCTGAGCGAGTCTCCGTCTTTCAGATAGTTGGCGACGACATGGCGCCATCTCAAGCTCTTAGATTGGTGGTGCATGACTCAATCAGTCCAGGGTGTTTTTGCAATGTGCTCTCCGTCCTTCGATGCCACCCGTTATTCCTTATACCATGGATCCCGCTCGCAGAGAATCTCACGCCAAATGGGACCGTATTCTTCCTCCTAGATGGTGGCGATCTCCTTGGCAACCTCCTCGCTCACGTCCCTCCACTCTGTGCCCTTTGTGTCCTCCTTGTGTTTTGCTAGAGCTACGATATCGAAGCGATGACCTGCCCAAATACCCCGATACATGTCTGGAAAAATACCTCGCGGTTTTGACCATAATATACGATACAGTAGAACGTCCCCAAAGCCCAAGACGTCAATACTTGGTCCACGAATGTATTGAGGCTTCAAAGCAACAGCCTCGGAGCGAACGAATTCCTTGGTTGTTAGGTTTCGGAGGATCCATGGTTGATCTTCAGGAAAGTAAGTTGATCCCTTGACGCGCATTTCATGCCATTTTATTTTGAGTATTGGCTCATCTTGTTTTGCCCTGTCGGAGCAAGACCTGAGCACACGATCCGATTCCCAGGCGAGTAGGATGTCGTTTTGCAGCTCAGATGCTGTCGGCCGAACATATGGGCAAAGGGAGAGTTCCTGTACACGGTGTACTCCATCATCGTCGCCGTCTCTGTGGCTCCATACATCGAACAAGTCTTGGTAGACTTTGTGCAATTCCCTCTGACAAGACAAAGCTGGGGGCAAGTCGCCTGGTTCAATCTGGTCCCCGACGCACACAATATTCTCGCCGGCCCATTGGCCCCGAAGTGATGCATAATATTCAAGGATATTTTCTTGACAAATATCCCAGAAGTGTCGACTAGTCAGACTGAAACATACAAGATCATCTATAGAGTCTATGTGACGCACGATTTGTAGGTGTAATTCTGTAGGGAGATCGATGATAGTGATTGAACGCATGAAATGGGGAGTTGTCATGTCATAGTGATCTCCAATTTTAACTCTTTTGTGGTTTCTCGAGTATTCATTGGAGTTTCGTTTCTCAGTATTACTGATCGTGATCGCTCCGCACTCATTGGTGGAGGTGCGCCGTCTAGGAAAATACAATCGCCTTGGTGGAATTATAGGCACAGCAAGACGACGTACAAGTGCCTCGCCATACTCGGCAAAAATCCGCTCAATGTCACCACTCATCTCGAATCTCTACTTCGCCCGAGGAGCGACAAGATAGAAGCGTTCTCCCATCTGAATTCGGTTTCTTTTCTTTTCCTTTTTAGTAGGATGAGCCGAAGAAGAGAAGCAGAGTATGCATTGAGGGTGAAGTTGAGGAATTGAGTGAAAATGATCCAACTGAAGAAATCTTGAGCGAATTCGAGGTTCAACAGCCAGTAGCAATTCTTCAGCTGTTGACACCTGCCCAAGGCCTGCAAATCGGGGGCCATTGGATCACCCACTTCAAAATGGGCATTCTTTTAGGTCTGTAGTCGTCTTTTTCGGACATGGCCGTCCTAGCAGCTTGGTTTGGTGTTGAAGTAATCGTTATTATGTCTCCGCGGGCGAGGTGGCTCCATGGGAGTAGTAAGACACATGGTGCCTGAAGTCCCGTCGATTATTTGATTCGAGAGATGTAACCAATGGAAGTCCCATCGCAGAACCTCCAAAGCTTGAAATGTTGATGCTGTTCACTTTCCCGGTCCAAGGCCCCACCTTGTCAAGCCACCCCACGGCCCTGTCGCCCCACATGCTTCAATGTTGACTGGATCCTAGTCGGTGTGCCTCGAGCCTCATCATCAGCATCAAACTCCAACCCATTCTCGCAGCGCCATGGCGGAGCCCTCTAAAGGAAGAATAGCCATTAAATTCGGCTCAGCATCTTCAACCCCATCCTCCACCAAAAACTCCCGTCCAGCACCACCATCAAGCCTCGGAAAGCGGCCCCGATCCCACGCTGCCCTCGGCGCAGACTCAGACTCAGACTCAGACTCCGACCGTCGCGGACACCACGAAGCCATCACTGGGTTCGGCGCAGATGGTGCAGAGACGCGACACAAAAAAAAGGAGGAGGTGAAGAAAGAATACATCATCGAGCGGCAAGCGAATAGAGACTGGAGAGGGGAGGTCCGCGCACAGAGGGGAGACAATCGACCCGCGGAAGCCAGAGGACACCAGCACAATCAGAATGGGAGCGCAGAGAGCACACCAGCAGGCCAAGACAAAGGTCAGCCATGGGGCCTGACCGTCAAGGAAAAGAAAGACCAGCCTCCCGCCGAACCGCAGGACACCCCGTCAGAAACGGCCGAGGAAGCACCCAAACCCAAGTCGGCGGATGACGAGGCCCTCGATGCACTGCTAGGCAACAAACCGAAAGAAACAAGAGTCATAGCCACCGAAGATGACGTGTACAAACGCGACGCCGCAGTTGCAGGCGCGGCCTCCACGCTGGAAGACTACGAAGCGATGCCCATTGAGGAATTCGGTGCCGCCCTCTTGCGCGGGATGGGATGGGACGGAGAACACCGCGGACCAAAGTCAAGGGACGTGCGTAAGCGGCAAAATCGACTGGGCCTTGGCGCGAAGGAGCTGAAAGGTGTAGAAGACCTAGGCGGGTGGAATCAGAACGGGGCGAAGAAGAGGAACAGGCCACGGCTGGACGAATACAATCGGGAGCAAAATAAAAGGAAGGAAGAAAGGGGCAGAGAAGATAGCTACAAGAGAGAGCGCGAAAGGGAGAGGGACAGAGAGAGACATGGTCATGGGGAACGAGATAGGGGGGACAGAGACCATCATATAGATAGGAGGGAAAGAGATAGGGATAGGGGTAGACATAGGGACTACGACCGGGATAGGAGACGGTAAATCTTGAGGAGTTTGTTGCAAAGAAGCAACTTCTCCGAGGTGGATGCGAGAGTTGAAAGTTGGACATTGTGGACTGCACGGCACTGTTGCGAAATTGCTTCAATCACCAACATAGAATACCCGTTTTGTGTTAAATCCATCAATTCATTGACCGCCATAAGTGCGGTCCAGGCGACGACGAGATCAGTACATGTTCCACACTGGACACAGTACAACTACGAGGCAACTAGAGTGCTGCGTGTGGACTTTGAACACTATGAGCTACCCGATAAGAGGACTGGTAGCATGTCTAATGTAGCTCAGCCGTCAACTCGGGGATCGTAGTTACGATGCTCTCGAAATGTGGCCTCGCGGGTAACATCTTGGAACAACCAAGAAACTTGCACCACCAGCAAGCAACAGCAGTAAACTCTATACCAAGAAAATAAATTGTGCATTCCATGTTCGTCAACCACCCATGCACTCCATACATACAAGTCGAGCAACAAATCCCAGTTCAAAAATGCCTGGGTCGACAAACCCGCCGCGACCAAATGCCGTATGCCATTCCTTCTGTTTGCATAATTTGCGCAAGTCGTCACTGCAAAGGCACCCTTTCAAGTGTATCCTTCAATATTCCCAATTCCATCACCGTACTTTTATGGTCATCAGACTTTTCAACCCCCCCGTTTGCCATCTCCTCAATCAACCGCCCAGAGGCGTGCAGCAGTGGTTGCACATAACGGTGTTCAATTGCGGCAGCCATGCCCGCCGGCGCAAGGTCCTTGTACTCATTTCCAAACAGGAACAGGGCAAAGTTGGCGGCTTGTAGGTGGAACGGGGAGCCTTCTGCCCAGAATTCCAACAAGGCCTCGATATCCGCTTCCTTGAGATATGTCAGGTCAGGGAAAAGCGTGTATTGTATAGACTCGAAACAGTCCGGGGTGCTAAATCGTCCTTTGGAATTTGTCTTGCGCGCGGAAATGACTTCTTCTCTGAGCCAGGTTATTGCACAGGCTTGGAGGGACCCAAACATGCAGTTCTCGAGGAGATCTTCTAGGATGGTGAGGCGATCGTCCTCGTCAGGATCCGAGTGAAGGACTGCTCCGGCAACGACTGTAGCGGCATTTCGAACGTAAATGTTGGGGTGGAAGACGGAAATGAGTGTTATAAGATGGTGATACGGCATGTAATTATCCTTGGCGTTTGTATCCGTCGCACCACCCTGAGCAAGTTTCTTCTGACCGACTAGCCAGATTGCGAGCACGACCAACGCTTCCATGGTTCCAGGGTTGTTCAGTATTTCCGATTGGGGGTCATCTCCGATGTAATGCTTCAATAATTGCTGATGGTCTGGAAACACGTACACGTCGGGTCGAGGTTGGTCGGCGTCAAAGACGCCGCCTGCAAAAACCCAATAGGCAATCAAACATAGCAGTCCGCCTCCTGATATCTTAACCTCCCCGACATTTGCGGGATCAAATTCGATGGCCAGTGGATCTCTAACAATTGGCGCTTGAAGGATCTCTCGAAGTTCGGCAAAGGTCATCTTGGCAAAGTCCAAGTCACCAGCAACAGCCTATATGAGCCAGTTAACGACCAATACGGGCAAAGCAAACGCTGGCGCCCATAACTTACTGCTAGCTGACCGACCAATGCATCTTTTGCCCTCAACTCATCAACCTCGTTGAACGCCTGCATCATCGTCTTCCTTCCTGGAACCAATCTCTCGGGATACGTATATTCCAGTAACCGTGCAGCCCAATCTAACTTGTTCGAGTTGACATAGGCCTCAATGACAGAGGTAATAAAGCACCGCAACAAATGCGTCATAATTTCAGGCTCGTCAGCATTCGGAAGATCAGACTTGTCCGCCTCTGGATCCGGCGCACTCTTCGTCTCGTCGCTGGTATGAAGCGCGGTTCCGAGCACGGTACTCGACTGTCGCGACGGCAGCGGCGGCCGTTTTTGCGCGGAAAGCGATTGCATCAGTGAGATGATAGCGGCAGTCGATTCGGCACTCGTTGGGTCATATGATCGATATACAGTGTCTAGCGTGGTGTGCAAGAACCGAGACGGCGTCTTGACTTGAAGTCGCTTGTGCAGGATGCCGAGCATGCCGCAAAGAGTGACGAAACACTGGTTCCCTACCGAGCCGTTTTCTCCTTCCCCCGTCACGGTTTCCATGACTTGCAACACCTTGAGGATGACTTCTCGAGGGTTTCCAAGGCGCGCAATGGTCTCTAGACAGCTCTCGCTTCCGGGGACATGGATGAGCATTTCAACAAGGTCCCAGCCAATGTCGCTAGTAAGTTCTACATCTTCCAGGATTTCGTGGAGAGCCGGCAGAATCCCGGGCGACATGGACTTGTCTATGATTGTAAGGTATGTAAATCTATCAGATGCTGGAGGACGAGCCTCCTTGAGTCGCTGGATGACCTCTTCGGTGGTTGGCTCGTTGGTAGCCATGATGTATGTGCATGTAGCTGCAACGTTTGCTGCAGCTCAAGCTGAGCTGAGTACGGCGGGGGTAGTTGGTCGAGGTCCGAAGTGCGATTAGATGAAGACAATGCCCAATATAAGTGAGCGAGTAAATCGTCTTGTAGGGAGTTCAAGCGTTCTGGAATCAAAGGGAGGGCAGCCAAGGTCTGGATGGCTCGAATTGGTGATGATGAAGTGTGGTTTGCATGACTTCATGCAGCACCTCGAGACGCAGTCCAAGCTTGCCCATGTACCTACCGTCGGTACCACGTAAGACGAACTACGCAGTACGGAGTCGAGGAGTAACTTACCAGACCATCTGGCATGACAGTTGCTTCCCCGCCTGCCCCTCCAATGATTAGCGGCCCCGCACTGAGTGTCTGCGAGCCTCACCTCAGAGTCACCTCGGTTGGACGCATCCATGCCGATCGTTTCCTCGCAATGGCATGGCATGTTTTGACAATCAACAGGTGTGTGATGTTGGAAACTTGGCTGATTATTTCATTATGTAGCGACTACAGGCTGATACGCATGTCATAAGCGCCATCTTTGTCTCCTACTCTCCTAAATATGGAAGAATCTGTCCAACCACGCTTGTCCACGCTTGGGTACCGCCCAAAATGTTCAAACCGTTCAAACATAAACATCATAATACAATAGCCGAATATGGATTACGGATAGTATCACACATATTTTACAACGTTAAAGCCTCGTGCTCGTCCTTTGGCTCTTATGGGGAGTTTTAGGCCACGACCACTTGTTGTTCTTCCCATCGTGCTCGTTTCGATACTTGGTACGCAACGCCTCGGAAACGGACATTGGCTCTTCCATGGGGATGAGTTGCGGCTCTGCGTGGTATGGTAGCACCTTTTTCAGTCTTTTTTCAGCCATTGGCCTCTCCTTGTCAGCACCTGCTGCTGCTTGCACCTTCTTCATATCCTTCACCATATTTTGAAGTTCGTCATCGCTATCGATGATTTGTGCTTTGATGAAAGACAAGCTATGCCCAGGCGTGTCCTGCATTTCCTCCATCACTGGAACGCGAGGGGTATACTTGTATTGTCCGGGCTGGGGTGCGGATTTTGAGTCTGGAACGACCGTGGGGTCTAGCATGGCCTCTGACCCCTTCTCTAGTAATGTGCTGATGTCTAAGCTTTCGCCGGGCGCGATTGCGGTAGGGTGGCTTGGGGTAATGCAGTCCATATCTACTTCCTTGCGCAGGACATGGTCGATATCCACTGCGGAAAAATACGCACAAGACTGGGGAAGGTCATTGATGCCAACCTGCTGAGCAAACATTGCTCGTGTCCAGACATTAGCGACTTGGAGAGCCATGGCGGCGCGGTACTTGTCCTGTTCTTTGACGAGATATCGAATCTCATCATGGACGGTAATGGCTAGGCGAGCATTGATGTTGAATCTCCGAATAAGGAAGTCCATAGAGACGATAAGCAGGTGCAGATAGTCGACGCCAGAGGATTGGATAGCCCAGTTAATTCGCGACGTGAGGTAGCCACCTTTACTGATGAAGCGGCTCATGAGAGCTTCTGTAATTCCAGCCCCGAGAACTGGGGTCCGCGGGCGTTCTTGCTCGGCAAACTCTTCAAGCTTATTGAAGACAAACGACTCTGTGCCTCCTCTCCAGAAGGGCTTATTATAAATGACCTTGCGATTCGTTTTCGTGCCCTTGGTATTGGCATACAGCTTTGAAGCCACTTCCATGGTTTGTCTCTCGGACAGGCTAGGGTTAAACTGTCGCAGTAGGGTAGCCGCAAACTTCAAGCCGGCCCCGTAAATACGTCCATAGTTGAAGACCTTGGCGTCATTTCTCGTAATACCCAAGATGCCAGCTGTCCGTGAGTGCAGGTCCGTGCCTGCTGCTTTTGTGCCTTCAAGTGTCATGAAACCAATAGCATTGCCACCATGGATTTTGAAAGTCGCATCTCCAACTAAGCTAGCAATCCAGAGCTCCTCAGAGTCCACATCAGCTCCTACGAAACAATACCCCTTAGGAGCCTTCACCATGGCCTTGAGTTCAGAGCCAACGCGGTTCTTCTTTGCGTTGCTGGCCGTCAGCCATGTGTTTTCCACTGCTCGCCTGGTAATCGTTCCCATGGGGATAACTTGGGGTAAGATGAAGCCGTGAGAATCTGCCTTCGGCTGGGTCCGTCGTCGTCTGGATGCTTGGCCTTTGGGGATATCTTCATCATAAACTACCATTTGTGACATGATACGGTCTCTTGCGCTTATCCAATAAGAACATGAAGCATTCATTTCTAGAGCTTCTTTGGCATATTCGTATTCCGATGACAGTGTGCCAGTCTCGAAATAACGCAGGTAGCCTTTTGCCATGGGATTGGCACATCGGGCTGTCGGCCCATCCTTGTGCGGAAGCTTGAAGTAATAATGTTCCCTATCATCCCGGAGAGCAAGCTCCGTTTCGTCAAAGGTACACTGGACCATCTGCTTTGCGTTGTATTTCGCTGCTTCATCGCGGGGAACTCGAAAAGTCCACCCATACTTGTCTGACCAAAATAATG